TCGGGCCGGGGCGGGGCGGAGGGGAAGACGACGAGCGGGGTGCGAGAGGGGCGAGGGCGGAGAGGAACCGCACGGAGGGCGGGGAAGAGGAGCGCGGTGAGCCCAGCCGTTTTCCGCCGTCCTCGAGCCGGGGCGGGTGGAGGGCAAGCTGAGGAATGGGGTGCGAGAGCGGCGAGGGCGGGGACAGGGAGCGGCGCGGCAGGCGGGGGGAGGACGCGCAGCAGGGCGGGGGGAGGGGCGAGGCGGAGGACGACGACTGGAGGACGTGAGGAAAGTGAGGAGGAGGAAAAATGCTGCAGATTGCTACCAAAGGGGACCAGTGTCCGTTGGAGGAGGAGGAGGAGGAGGAGGAGGAGGAGGAGGAGGAGGAGGAGGAGGAGGAGGAGGAGGGAGGAGGAGGAGGAGGAGGAGGAGGAGGAGGAGGAGGAGGACCCCGGCTCCGACGGCGCCCCCCAGAGAAGAACTGGCGTCAGGACGCTGCCCGCGGCCCTCGCGCTGGCTGCTGCCGCGGGCCCAGGAGGAGGCGGGGCTTGAGTGGCCGGGAGGCGCGGCGAGGCGGCGCCACGCTCCTCCCCCGCCCTCCGGCCGCCCTGCTGGGCGGAACCCGGCTCCGAGGGCGCCCCCCGAAGAAAAACTGGCGTCAGGACGCGGCTCGCGGCTTTCGCGCCGCCCGCTGCCGCTGCAGGCCCAGGAGGAGGCGGGGCCTCAGCGCCGGGGAGGCGCGGCGAGGCGGAACCGCATTCCCCTCCCGCCTTCCGGCCGACCTGCAGGGCCACCCCGGGCCGATCTGCCCTGGCTGCCGCAAGGAGGCGAGCTCGTACCGAGCAGAGGCTGGGGACCGATGCTCCGTGTGCGACGGGGCTGGAGCCGGCGGCTGGCTCCGCTACTGCGGGGGCTGCGACACGCGCCTCTGCTGCACACTGGACGCTCCGCGGGCTGCGACGGCCCCAGCCGCGGCGGCGGCCTCGGCAAGCGCAGCGCCTGCGGCCGCGGCGCCAGGCAGCCTGCCCGGCCCGCCCCTTCCGGCAGGCACAGCGGCTGCCGCCCAGACTCCCGGCGGCTCGCCGGCCCCGGCGCCGCCGCCGCCGGGCAGCGCCCCCGGTCCTGCTAGATCGCCGGCGCCGCCGCCGCCGGGAGACGCGCCGGCGGCAGGCGCTGCCGCCGCCTTCGCCCTCCGGGACCTCACGGCCGCTTGCACGGCAGGGCTCGACGCCTGCGATCTCCTGGAGGAGTTTGCGCTGGACTGCCCCACGCTGCGGATCGTCCCGCGGCACGCCCGGGCAGCGGCCGGACAGGCCACCGAGGAGCTCTGCAAAGGGATCCTCCAGGCCCCGGCCCGGAGCGCGGAGGAGGGGCGCGCTTGGAAATTGCTGGTGCTGCGAGAGCGACTGCTTTTCGCCGCCCCGCTCCGGCTGGACGCGAGGGGCCGACAGCGTGCGGCGGCGGAGACGCTGGACCGCGCACGGTGCGCGAGCGCTGCTCCGCGCTGCTCTGCGGCGACTGGGCGACGCTCCTGGAGGCGGCCCGGAGCACGGCCCGAGGACTGGCCAAGGCGCGCCGCCAGGCAGGCGACGGGGGGGGCCGCGACGAGCGCTCCCTGGCGGACGAAGTCCTCCGAAAAGCAATGGCGGAGGAGTATTCCCGAGCTGCCGCCCTGCTGAGCAGCCCAGGACTCGCGCCACTCACGCCCGACACGGCCGGGCAGCTGCAGGCGCTACTCCAGCCGCGCCCCGCCGCCGCGCTGCCGCCGGCGGCGCCGCCGCTGGCTGGGCCTCCGCCGCTCTCCCACAGGGCCTTGAAGAAAGCACTGCATGCAGGCGAGCCCCCCGGGCAGCGGGGCGGCGGCTGGCGGCGGGCGCTTCGAGCACTGGCGGGTCGTGCTCGCCCAGCCCGCGGCACTGGCGGCCCTCTACGGCGTGCGCGACCGCCTGGCAGAGGGCCGGGTCCCGGAAAGCGCCGCCGCGGCCCTCGCACTGGCGAAGCTCACGCCGCTGCGAAAACCAGGCGGCGGGGTCCGCCCGATCGCCGCGCCGAGCATCTTGCGGCGGCTGGTGGGCCGCGCGCTGGTGGCCCCTCGGAAGGAAGGCTTGGCCGAGGCACTGGGGAGACAGCAGTTTGCCGTGGGCACTGCTGCGGGCACCGAGCTCTTGGCCCACACCGCGCGAGCTCTGGCAGAGGCGAACCCCGACTTGGTGTTAGTTGCGCTGGACGCCAAGAACGCCTACTGCTCTGCCCACCGCGAGGCCTGCCTCCGCGGCCTGGAGGAGGTGGCACCGGAGCTGCTGCCCTACGCCAACCTCTTCTGCCGCCGAAAGTCACTGTACTATTTTTGGGACGCGGCCGGGGTTTGCCACCGCCTGCGAGCCACGAGCGGGGTAGACCAGGGGGACCCGCTGGCGCCGCTGCTCTTCGCTTGCGGGCTGCGCCCCCACCTGCCAGCCCTCGAAGACGCTCTGCGGGGGGGGGCCCAGCGCCGGGGGCTGAACACAGACGATGTGCACGTCCTCGCTTACCTGGATGATGTCGTCGTGCTGGCCCCTCGGCGCTCGCGGGCGAGGTCCAGGCGACGGCGCAAGAGACGCTCGGCGGCTTAGGCTTGGAGCTGGAGCAGCGAAAAACGCAGGCCTGGTCTCCCGGGGCCGCCTGCCCTCCCGGGCTGGAGGAGCAGTGGCGCGCGGAAGGCCTGACCCTCGTGGGGGTGCCCCTGGGCGGGCCGCTGCCTCCTGGAGGGCTGCCGGACGAGAGCGACGCGCGCTGGGTCGACCTCGGCACGGCCGGCTACGCACCGGCGCGCTGCGCGGAGACGGCAGGGCGAGCGGCGGAGCTACTGGCCAAGCTCGCGGCCCTCCCAGCAACGGCCTCGCCGCACCTGCCGGCCGCGCAGACGACAGGGCTACTGCTCCGACACTGCGGCGGCAGCAAGCTCACGCACCTGCTGCGCACGAGCACCCCAGCAGCCTCCGAGGCGGCCGCCAGGGCCTACGACGACGCCCTGCTCGCGGCTTACACGGCGCACGCCCGCCTCGACCCGCTGACGGAAACGCAGCGGGCGCACTGCCAGCTGCCGCTGCGGCTAGGCGGACGCGGCCTCCGCAGCCAGCGGCAACTGACGCCGGCGGCCTGGGCCGGCTCCTGGGCGCAGAACTTGCACGGGGTAAGGGAGCGCGCTGGGCTGGCTTGCCTGGGCGACTTATAAACCTGCGCCCTGCCCCTGGCTGGAGCTTGCCGCGACGCTCTCGCCGGACTTGCCCAACTGCCTCCGCCGCCACCTCGCCCTGGCGCAGAAGCGGCCGACCTGCCCACCTGGCAGGAACTAGCGCAGGCGCCTCGCCAAAAGCTCCAAAAAGCCCTGACAGCAAGGATTGACCACAAAAGCCACAACTCCTTGCTGCAGGCCTTGGGGCCAGAGGGGAAAGCCGTCCTACGCTCCTGCGGCGGGCCGCACTCGAGCGCCTGGCAGACTGCCTCGCCGGGTGCGTACGCACAGCGGCTCGACGACGCGGACTACTACAGCACCGCGCGGACGCTCCTAGGCCAGGCCGCAGCCCCGCTCAGCGCCACCTGCTGCAACGCCGCCCGGACTGGCGAGCGGGCTGGCCAGCTTTGCGCGGAGCCGCTGGACAGCCGAGCGCGCCACGCCTGGCGCTGCGCTCGCGGAGGCGGGCTCAAGGCGCGGAGCAGGGACCTGGAGCGCGCTTGGGCCCGTATCCACGCGGAGTGCGGGTTCCACGTGGAACGCTGAACCCACGTCCCGGCCTGGGACCGCTGGCGCTGGACCTGCCCGCGCTGCAACCAGGGCGGGACGACGGCGGACCGGCCGGCGGGCCCGTGCGCCACCTGCGGGGCCAGGCTGCGGGCGGAGCGGGAGGAGGCCATCCTCGACATCGAGGTACAGCGGGCTGACTGCCCCCGCTGGTACTTCGACGTGACGGTGCGCTAATGCGCGCCAGGGGACGCCGACGGCCTGGCAGCGGCGGCAGGACGCAACGGCGCGGTCAACGCCGCGGCGGAGGCCGAGAAATGCCGCCGCTACCCGCCGGGCCGGACCCCGTGGGGCATGGTGCCCCTGGCGCTCGAGACCGGAGGGCGGCACGGGCCGGCAGCCCTCCGGCACCTCCGCGAGCTGGCCCGCGGGGAGGCGGCCCTCCTGGGCGACGACGGGGCCGCCCCGGCAATCGCTGGCGCCCTGATGGCCCTGTGGGGCTGGGAGCTCAGCGTGGCCCTCCACCGGGCCACCGCCCGCCAGCTCAGGACGGCGCTGGGCTCGGACAGCGCCGGCGCCAGGCGGGCGGCCGAGCTCCAGGCGGCTGCGGCAGCCTCTAGCCGGGCGGGGGCTGGACCAGCCGCCGGCCGCTGCTCGCGTTCGCCTACCGGGTCCTCGCGGAGCACGAGAAGCTCAAGGGGGGCGGCGAGCGGGCGTGCGTCACAGACCGCGCTTCGGGGCTCGCAGGAGGAGGAAGAGGAGGAGGAGAAGGAAGAGGAGGAGGAGGATGAGGATGAGGAGGAGGAGGAGGAGGAGGAGGGAGGAGGAGGAGGAGGAAGAAGAAGAGGAGCGGGAGGAGGAGGAGGAGGAGGAGGAGGAGGGGAAGGAAAAGGAGGCGGAGGAGGAGAAGGAGGAGGAGGAGAAGGAGGGAGGCGGGGGAGGAAGGGGAGGAGGGGGAGGGGAAGGCGGGGGAGAAAGGGAAGGAAGGGGAGGAGGGGGAGGAGGGAGAGGCGGAAGAGGAGGGGAGGGGAGTGAGGAGGAGGATGAGGGAGAAGGAAGAAAGACGGAGAGCGACCAGAGGCTGCACATAACCGCAAACTCCGAGAGAAGGCGCGGCGCAGGCCTCCGCCTGGGCCTGATAAGTCCCTCGGAGAATGACCCAAGTCCCCAAGACGTGCGATCACCCCGAATCCCCACTGAGTCACCACACTGTGTTTGAGCAGGGACTGACCATCCTGGCATTCATTAAACGTATGACCGACACACTAAAACAGGACAGTCTCAACCACAAGCGTGCTCATAACGCCTCGTGCCAGTGGGGTGGCCCCGATTGGTCGACCTTGGCCCCAGCGCAACCGGATGTTGCCTCACCCCCAGGTCAAACAGCCTTCGCTCGCGGGTTCCTCGGCCTCCGCGCCCTGGGCGGGCCGCGATATCTTTGCCGAACGCACAGGTAAGGCGATCGAGCAGCTTAGTGTTCTGTCGGTCCAGCGGTTCGGAAGCCCTGCGTCCAGATTTAACTCGGGTGTGCCCCTGACTATTTTTTGGATATATTTGAACATTCCTCCTGTAGAGGGACAGGCCCGATGTAAGTCTAGATGCGTCGTGCAAGTGAATGGGCGGTCCTCGGCTCGAAAAGCACGCCGACCTAACGTGGCAAAAACGCGCGGGCCATTGCGGGGCAGCGTGGGAAACGCGATGAGCCTCAGAGTCATTGCCGCGACTTGCGAACAGACGCTGGCGATCCCCACGCGCGCCCTCCATAGTACGTCCGTCATGCGGTAGCCTGCTCAGAACTCGTCGGCATGGCTCTCCTCCTCACCCTCGCCCTCCGCCGTCCGTCGATGCCCACCAGCTCGTAATCCTTCTCCAGCGCCTCCAGGTCCTCGCGAGCCTCGGAGAACTCGCCTTCCTCCGTGCCATCGCCCACGCACCAATGCACGAACGCGCGCTTCGAATACGTGATGTCGACCTGGTGGTCGATGCATGAACAGACTTCCGCAATGACGGAGGAGTTGCTGATCACGCAGCAAGCACGCATTACTTTAGCCAGGACACTAGCAAGGACCACCGCAGGAAGCTGGTAGCTCCTACCGCGCTTGAAGCCAACGGGGTGCCAATCCCCTTGCTTGACTGATGGGATATTGTTTAGGGTCGTAACAAAAACACCCCCTCCTTCAGCCATCCCGTAAACGAGCATACTGAGCACCCGCGAGGGGAAGGTCCTGACCAGCGCGAAGCATGACGTTCCACTCGCACTGCAGATTAGCCGGAGCATGCATGTCGCGCCCTGCACATGGAAGGAGGCACTGTGCAAACCAGAGCGACCAACCACAAAAGCACGCGACGAAAAGACTTGTCCTCGCCCTGAACGAAAAAAACACCTGAACGTGAATTGAACCAGCGCGGCATCGAGAACCAGCCACCCACGCGTTCGGGTAACCTCCTGACATCAGCAGCAACCTTCACGGGCGCAGGCATGGCCCCCGGAGCACTGCAAATGCGGGAGCCAATAGCGCCAGGGCGTCATGACGTCACATTCCGCGATCCGCGGCAGCCCTGGCGCGCCTTCCCAGATGCTGCTCGACCCAAAAAGATCGGTAGCGCTCAGGAGAGATCGGGCGCGACCGAAATCGCAAACACACCGCCAAATACCGGTGACGACTCAGCGACGCATCTTCAGCCAATACTGGTATTGCCCTGAGACTCACAAGGACGATATCGGTAGCCAGTACCCAAAATTGCAGATATGTGCTACCGAAATTCGAGCTCGCGCGCGTCGCCCAATACCGAAATTTCGCTACCCATTTTTTGGCGCGCGCCACACGCGGCGCGCGACAAGAAATGCAGAGAAACTTGCGTCGCGAACCGCATCGGGAATCCTTGACGCTTCGCGTATCCCCACCAGAAACGATCAGCAGGGGAGTTGGTGAATCAGGGGCGGCAAGACGCATGCTGTCGCGCAGCCGTCTTCAGGAAAACAGGGATCACACATAGCTTCCCGCATTGAAGTTTGATATGGAAATCGGTGCAAGCTACGATGGTGCTTAGATGGGGGGTGATGGGGTGTTTCGATGATTTGTAATGGTTGTCGCGTGCGTTTCGAAACTTGGAGCCATCTTGGGGCTCTCTTGGGGTTCTCTTGGGGCCCTCCTGGAGCTCTGTCTTGGGGCTTTCTCGAGGTCGTCTTAGGGCATCCTTGGAGCCGCCTTGGGGCTGTTTCGAAGCGTCTTGGGCCCCTATTGGGGCTCTTTTTTTTTTGGGGGGGGGGTCTGGGGGCCTTATTGAAGCCCTTTGGGCATGCCTGGGTGGCCTCTTGGGGCCGTCTTTGAGTTTTTCGCTATAAAAAAAGCGCCCTTAATTCTGACCCCCATCGGCCCTCCTCCACCTCCATCCCCCCTCCTCCTCCACCTCCACCATCATCCTCCAACCCCGCGTTGCCCCCTCCATCCACAGCCCATTTAGCCTTTTTTGTTGTTTCACAATTATGGCGGCCCCACCCCGTCGCCGCCCGACCGCCGAAGTCGATGAGATCATGCCGACAGAGGCTCTGACCAAATATGTCGAGGAGGTCGGCTGCAAGAAGAGTTTCGTGCTCGGCCACTACGAATTTCTTCGTAAAGATTGTGCTGTGCATGCGAGTTCTCTCGCTCGGATGCCGTCGCTGGTGGCATCCGCCCAAAACTGAAGAACGAAGGAGGGGAGCGGCGGGGGATTACACGGGGGGAGGCGGGGGGGCCCAAGAGGCCCCGAAGAAGCCCCAAGAGGCCCCAAGAGGCGCCCAAGAGGCCCCGAAGGCGCCCCAAGAGGCCCCAATGGGGCCCCCAAGAGGCCCCAAGAGGCTCCCCTGGACGGCCCAAGACGGCCCCAAGAGAGCCCCAGGCTGTCCCAAGAAAACCTCTGGCCCGCGCCCCCAGGTTGAAGTTTTGCTCGACCAGTGCGGCCTCGCGGAGGTCACCTTCTCCACGCTGCGCAGCGCCCTGCATCGGGTGATCTTGCGGCACCGCCCGGCATTCGACAGCGGGGGAGGGCGAGGAGAAGGAGGGGGAGGAGCAGGAGGAGGCGGGGGAGGAGGAAGAGGGGGAGGAGGAGGAGGAGCAGGAGGAGGCGGGGGGGGAGGAAGAGGGGGGAGCAGAGAAGGGAAATCGGAGCGGGGGGGGAGGAAGAGGGGGGGGTAGAGAAGGGAAATCGGGGATGGACAGACCCCCCTTTAGCAAAACGTGGTTTAGCGAAAACGACCTGAGGCCCAAACCTGGCGGGCGCGAGCCTGGAAAATAACGGCCACGGCGCCCTCTCGAGAACCGAAAACGGACAAGTCACTAATCGACGTGTCACTGTTGGGGGTTCTGTCCAGCCCCGAGGAAAGCGGCAGATCGCGGCCGCGAGCTCAGATCTCAGAACTGAGAACTCGAAATGGTACACTCCCCACTGCACAGACCACCATGACCACGTTGCAACGACTGCCGAAGGACGTAAAGAATGTGCCACCATTGACAGCTGACATTGACAGCTGAAATGCACAAAAGCCACAAACATACCTCCCCGCGTCAGGTAGCACTTCCGTAACGCACGATGCCGAGCGTATTGGCACGACGTGAAACACCGGCACCCACCGCCTCAAAACGTTGTAACTGCACCCAGGACAACGAATGACGAGAGACAATGAGCGCCCACTGCGTGAATAAGATTTGCGACCATAAATGCACACATTAGCGCTGCCCCGACCACTCAAACTGACGAGGCGAAGGCCCACATGACCGCTGCGTTGATGCTAACGTACGGTTGAACTGCTTGCACAGGCAACTGAGGACTGACGTCGCTGCTCTGCGAAATGTGCCACAACCTATCTTGCAGCAGCTTAGCCACCCGACGATCTTTAGCGTATTCGTAAAACTCTGCATAAGTCCACGCCCCGCTGTGATCGCCCATGGCCTTGCGCGCACACGGTGCGCCATGCCAGGCGAGAGGTCGGGGTATGTACGGGACTAGATTAGCCAACACCTCCAATGCACAAGCGTAGCAGAGTGACCCATCCCATTGAGCTGTAAACAGAATGGGCCAGCGCCGCACCGCTGCCTGCATGCACATGGCTGGAATACTGAAATCGCCCTTTGCGTCCACGAAGAGCGTTGGAACGACGGGACCAGACATGCTGATACGAGCGACCAGATCTTGCCCACCCTGCAAAGGACGTAGCTCTTCGTCTGGACCATGATGGCATTGGACTGGAACATAGCCGGCGATGCGCGACACGGCCATCACTGCAGACGGCTTGCTCGTGGCTCGCAAACAGTCCGACCTCCGTGAAATAGAAAAACCACTGTCGCATTGGGGAGCTGTCCCGTCGCGGCTTCGTAGACGATGCCGTCGTACAGGATCCTCCGCTCTGCTGCGTCCGCTACACGACGTTGCAGATAGCGATTCAGAAGCTCGTCAAGCTCATTGCGGAAATGTCCCATCGGCGGGCACACACACGCAACTATGACAGTAGATGGCGTAGCAGCGAGTACCGTGTCCTGATGAAGTTGAAACAGATCCCGCTCACGAATTTGCACTCCAACTTGTCTGAGGAGCGGCCCACAATGCTTCCCCAGCACCTCCGTGGAAAGATCTGACGCCTCCCACGTAGAAAGTTGCTCGCATTCCGCTGCTCCATCAGACATGGACGAGACGAGCGCCGAACAACGAGTTGACCTCCCTTAGTCACCAGGAATATCCTCACCCCAAACAACGCGTGATCCACACGTCTCACAGTGAGAATGCCCTGATGTTCCTCCAGCGCCGCGAGGAGGCGGGAGGCTAGGCTGGCGCGAGCGAGAACAAGCCAAAAAATGGTGCTACGCGCTCCGCCAACCTGCGCTTGAGAGGAGAGGGGGGAGAGGAGGAGGAGGCGGAGGAGAGGAGGCGGAGGAGGAGGAGGGGGACGTGCTCCCCGTCATCCATATCCTCGTCCGTTGCGCGTTCGCACTCTCCCCTCTCATAGGTACCCCAAGTGCGCGAGCGAGAAGCAGTCCGCCAGCCCCTGGGAGAAGGCGGGCTCGCTTTCAGACAAAATCGGAGTCGTCTTCAAACACTTGCGGCGCATCAGGGATGACCCCGCGCGGCTGCGCCAGGCCGCTTTGTGCGAACACTCCTCCCTGGCATCGCTCGGACGTGTGCAGTTTTTCTTCGGCCCAGGGCCATCGAGGAACATCCTTGACCATTTGGCGAAAAAAACACGCACGAAAACTGAAAACAAACTCACAAAACAACGGACGTCCGAGCGATGGCGAGCCTCCTCACTTCCCTCGTCGCCTGACCCTTTCCCCTGTGTTGCCCGCCCCCGACGTCGCCCCATCAGCGGGGTAACGTTGGGGTCGGGCGACGCCTCGCCCCAAGTCGCGCGGGCGTTCCCAGAGGCAGTCTCGAACACTAGCCGCAAGGAGCTCGACACGATCAACTGGTATTTGTATAAGATGGGAGCTGCCCCCGCACCCGCTCCAGGCCCGCAACCTTCCCCGAGGGCTTCCCCTAGGTCGAGGGCGTCATCTCGCGAGTCGCATCGTTCTCGGAGTCGGGCAGCGTTCGCGGTGGGGGAGGGGAGGCCAAGCCCGCCCCCACCCCACCCCCTCGGGGCCCCTCTTGCCGCCCCGACGTGGAAGGGGGAGAAGGGGCGGGAGGAGGGCCTTGCTGCGTCGGGGCCATGCCAAGTAACACCCTGCTTCCTTGTTAGGGCACCCTGGGTTTCTCGGGCCCCCGTGCACAATAATAGCTAGATTTCCTGGGGGTTCAGGATTGGGTGTCTTGCGGACGGAGTCTCGTGGCCGAATGCGGATTGCATTCGCGCCGTGACTTCTGCGCGCCCGTCGCCAGGTGCCGATCGCCGACCGCGGGTCCGAGGTGGGCGACGACGGCCAGAGCGCGGCCCGCGACGGCGCCGACGAGGAGGACGCCGTCTCCCAGTGCTCCTCCGTTGCCCTCTGCTTCTTCTCCCCCACCCCCTACGCCCGAGATCCTCATTCTCGCCGTCCGTCTCGATTCCCCACCGCCTTCTCCTTGTGCTCGCCCCCCCTCGACACGCCCCCAAACCCGCGCCCTTCCCCCCCCTTCGCCACCCCCCCTCGAGCCGCGCCCGCCCCCCCCCCCGTCCGGGCGAGGACGCGGAGAGGGAGCTGTCCGACGTCTCCGAGGACGAGGAGGACGAGGAGGACGAGGAGGAGATGGCCCAGAGCATCGCCGTGACGGACCTGGAGGGCGCAGGCGTCAACGCCGTCGACATCGAGGATCGCGGGGCTTTCCTTGGCGCGCGAAGCATCCCCATCTTTATCTTCGTCCTATTCCACATTATTGACGCTTCGCGTACCCCCGCCAGCCCATCCAGAAACGATCAGCAGGAAGGCTGGTGAATCAGGGGCGTCAGGGCGCATGCAGTCGCGCAACCGTCATCGGGAAAACAAGGATCGCGCGCAATTTCCAGCGCTGCAATTTAGGATGGGAACTATTTAGCAGCAATATGTCCACGAAGACGACTGCGCGACTGCATGCGTCCTACCACCCCTGATTTGACCCGATCCCCTGCTGATCGTTTCTGCATGGGCTGGGGGTTCGCGAAACGTCGAGAATATCTCGCGATCGTCTTACGTAAAGTAACTGTACAGTCGGCGCGCTGAAGAAGGAACCCTTTTCGTTGGGGAGGGGCTCGGTGTTCCTTGACTGTTTCAAAGTCTGCCTCGGGTTCTCCTGATGTTTTCCATCGGGAATCGGGGCTGAACGTATGGGAGAAATGGGCCTCGTTCCTTATTTAGGGTTCCTTAGGTCAACGCCTCGACTGTAAGATCGCAATGGCGCAGCGCGGACATTACGTACTATACCAGTACGGTCGTAGCTCTGGTTTACGTATGGTAAACGTGAGAGTGTACATCATATTACGTATGTGATATGCACTATACTCATATGATGTATGGTTTACGTACGTGTTACGCTTGTCTTACGTATGTCCCACGTACGTCTTACGTATGTCTTACGTATGTGTTACGCATGTCTTACGTATTGTACACGTAAGATGATACGCCATCATACGATCGCCTGGTGTATTATAAACGTAATAACACCACAATCTGACATCGGCCTCAGAAGTACGACGGGGCGCCGTCTTGGGCCCTCTCGCTAACAACGAGCGCCCTTAATTCCCCTTCCATCGGGGGCTCAAAAACGCCATCCTGGGACCCTCTTGGCCCGCTCTGGGGGGGCGCCCTTGGGCGCTATGGATGATATCGGTGGGCCCTTCGTGGCTCTCTCGGGGCTGTCGTGGGCCGTCTTGGGGCAATATTGAGGCTCCGCGGGCCCATCGGAGGCGAAAAGGCGAGAAGGCGCGACAACATTGAGTGCCCCTATGTGTTTGCACGATTTCTAGGGGGGAGGCATCGGGGGCCATCTTGGAGGCCATCGTGCGCTCTCTGGTGCCCTCCTGGAGCCATCTTGGGCCATCTCGGGCGCTGGGCCATCTTGGGCCATCTCGGGCGCTGGGTTCTCCACCCCCCCCCCCCCGACGCCCCCCCCCCCCCCCCCCCCCCCCCCCCCCCCCCACCCACCCACCCCACCCCACCCCCCACCCACCCACCCCCCATCCCCCCATCCCCCCACCCCCCCCTCCCCCCACCACCCCCATGCGCACGGGGGGGGGGGGGGAGGGGCAAACCTCCCGAGCAGGGGAAGGAAAGGGGGTTGGACAAAGGAACCGCCCTAGACCACCTGCGCCCAGAGGGTTGGCGGGGTTCGCCGAGTCATCCTCGCCCTGAATCTTCGCGGTCATTGCGCGCGGCGGCCGCTCAGGGGGTTCGGTGCCCAGGATCGCGGCGCGTTCACTTGTAAACGTATGATCTCCATCCTCAGCGTTGCCTTCCTCCACGTCAGCCTCTGCACCCCCGTCCAAAATCCTCGCAGTCGGCTGGTCAGGGGGCTGGTTTCCAGGGTCGCGGTGCCGTTTGGTAAACGAAGCGCTCCTCATCCCCACCTGTGTATTCCTCGACGCTCGCCTCTTCGCCCTCGCCCGGCATCCCCGCGGCCTGTACGTAGCCAGTTTCGGCCAAAGTTCCCAGGCCCCAGCGCGGTCGCGTCGGCGACATGGCCGATTGCACGCCGCCCGCGCTGGTTGAGGCCCCCCAAGAATTCTTTCTTCCAGACCGCTGGGCGCGGCTGTCGGGGGGCGGCCGCAGTTCATACCTCGTTCGCCTGCTCTCGACGTGCGCCCCGTTCTTGATGGCGCTGAAGCCAGACAGGCGCGACCTCGTGCTCCTGGAGGCGTCTGGTGGCGTTTCGATTTCAGAGGCGGCCTCCGCCCACGGGCCAGCTATGCCGCGCGCAGATAAGTTCGGGCCAGAGGAGAATATCACGAGCGACGAGGGCTACACCTATTTGCTGTCATTGGTGATGCGTCTCCAGGAGGGCGCGCTGGCATGGCTTTCGCCGTCTACGTCGACTTGGGCGGCAGATTCCCCGAGTTCGCGGACGAGGCGCTTCGACGTGATCGACGGGGACGAGGCGGTGCCCGAGGTCAAGGACGCAAACATTCGAGCTCAGCGCCTGGTCGTGGCGGCAATTATGTGCTGGCTTCGCGGGGCGCGCTGGATTCAAACTGCCATGGCCCCTTTTCCCTTGGGGTGACGGGGGGGGGGGGGGAACGGTGGGGGGCGGCAATGAGTGAGAGGGCAGGAGCGGGAGATAGAGGGGGGCAGTATGAGAAGGCGACTCAGGGTGCGCTGCATCCCCATCACCCCCGTGGGGGTGACGGGGATGGGCGAGAGGGACGGCGATGTGGATTCTGAGGGGATGGGGAAAAGGGGTTGCATGCCGCAGCTGAATAGGTGTATCAAACATGGGTCCACCCGTCGGGGTCGTTGCTCTGGCTGTACTACCCGTTCGCACAGCTTCATAAAATCGCGTGCACCATCAGGTGTTCTACATTCCTGGGAGCTTTTGGTTCGGAGCACACGCGCGTGGGAGACGTGGACATGTACGCTGATAATATACAGTTCCGTGCACTGGCGAAGGTCCTTGAAGGGTGCACGACAATTTAAGTTCGAGTTCCGATGTCCCGATGGGCGCCGCCGCCATATGTTCAAATGGGTTTGGGCACCACCACGTCCCCGCTGCAAACCTTGTTCCTCGCGGCCGCGGCACCCATCGGGATCTCGGGGCGCGCCCAGAGGTTTCCCCGCGTCCCTCCCCCCGCCCGTGCGAAGGTGAAGCCCTCTGGCGATGTGCGTGCTACGTTGCCGCCCAGCGGAGAGTACCCGCCCGAGTTCGTGAAATGTGTTGCCGAGGTTGCGCGCAAGCTGTTCCTCGGCCACCCTGCTCGCGAGAAGCTGCCCATGCAAGCAGAGCCTGCCCGTGGCTCGACAGATCTTGCCCGTGGCTCGGGATGTTCAGAGCAAGTCATCTCGTCGGGGTCGGACGAGGAACCGCGATGCGCCCAGCGCGAACCCGCTCACCCCATGGTGGTACGGGATGGGGGTGGGCGGGGAGGGATGACATGGGAGGCCTTAAGTGGGCTGCGCAGTGGTACGAATGCCGATGGCAATTCGTACCACCTCGCAGTTTTGGGGTTGGAGTGGTGGTGGTGGTGGCGGTGGTGGTGGTGGTGGTGGTGGTGGGGGTGGGGCGGCGCTGTCCCTGTGCTGTTCGTTATGCGATGCCCAGGACAACGTCGGCAAAAAGAGGCGCCTGCGCGTCAAAACGAGCCCGCAGCAGGACAGCAACGTTAAGGAACCAATTGTCGACTTAGGGTTGGGTGGCACCCCGTCCCTGGTGGATTGGCCGTCCTCCTCCCCCTCGACCTCCCGCTCGTAGCCCCCGTCGTCGTCGTCGTCGACCCCCCTCCCAAGCCCCCTCCCCCCACCCCATCGCACCCCGCCGAGGGGGGGGGAGAGGGGTAAGGTGGGGGTGGAGGATGACTAGGGACGTCAGGAATACGGGGGCCCCTGGGCCTAGCAGGACGACTGCGGCCCGACCACCGCCGCTTGGAAGGAGATGGATTGGAAGGCGATCTTGGAGATGAAGCGCGGGTCGAATGGCACGTGGCAGCCGCCCGACAAGCACCGCCGCAACATTTGACGGTGGGGTGCAGACAGACCCGCAGCTGAGCGGATCATCGCTCGGCAGATGGGCGTCATGGTGGACTCCCCAGGGTCTGGCGCGGCGGCGGCCGACAGCGAGACCCCGAAGAAGCCCGTCATGGTATCGACGGGCACGCAGGTCGGGGACGGCGACACGCCCGTCAAGATGACCACAAGCACGCCCATCGACGACAAGGTCCCGTGCACGCCCCAGCCCGTTGGGAGGTCGCCGCAGCCGTTCGGCAGCGGCAGCCCAAGCCAGTACAGTTTCGCCGTGCTGGAGCCCGAGCCGACGGATGATGAATTGCTCCAGCTCTCCACGTGGCTGCGCTTTTCTCCGTAGATTGCAGCTGATGCGGCTAGCTAGATTGCGCCTCTCGCGCTCGGCCTGCTGCTCCAGCTAGCTAGATGATTGCGCCTCTCGCGCTCGACCTGCTGCCCCAGCTAGCTAGATTGCACTCGCGTTCGCGGGGTAGTGCAGGTAAGCTACGCGCGCAGCTGGCATTTGACATTATTGGGGAAGTGTTGCTGGACGCACGTGAGACGCGTGCGATAATGAACCAACCCCATGTTGTTATCGCCTCGCCCATTGCCGCTCGGTGTGGACAGGAGCGAGAGGGAGTTAGGGAGATGCATGGCTATATATGTATATGTAGTTGTATGTATGTATAGATGGAGGGGTATAGACTCGCACCTCTTATATGTATACATGTGTGCGGGTGTACACACACCTATATATACATATATATATAGTGCGTGATATAGATAGGCCTCCTCTCCCCCATCCTCCCTTCCCTCTCCCCCATCGATCGGCACGACAAGGGTCATCTCGAAATTGGCAGCTCGGAGCGCTGGGCTGAGAGAGGGGGGGTGCAGGGGGAAGGAGGGGAGATGGGGAGTGGCCATCGCCCGCCGCGCCAGGACTTCTGCTCGTGGATGCGCACCGCTGACTGCCTGGCCCCCAGCGCCGAGCAGGCCCCCAAGGTCACGCCCATGAAGAACACGCGGCGTGCATCCACATCGATGCAGACACCAGCTCCAGTGACTCCAGCGGAGCGCCCTGGTGCAATTGCGGACCTGCTCTGCAAGGCCAAGTCTGTCAAGCCAGTCCCTGCGACGAAGAACGAAGTCAAGGACCCTTGGTTTTTGGGCAGGAGGGGAACTGTAGCCACGGGCGGCACGGCGCAGCGCGGCGCGGCGCAGCGCGGCACGGCACGTCGCGCACGGCGCGGGCCGCGCGGCAGGATTGGGGGGGGGGGGCATTTGGCCACGGACAGCGCTGCACGGTGGGCTCTTCGCGTCGGTGGCGGGGGGGATTGTGCCCGTGGCGTTGCGCCATATTGTCTGCCCCCACCCCCTACCACCTCCCCCCGCCACCCCGCCCTCATCCTCCACCCGCCCCATCCGCCCTACATGTCCCATCTAGGAGGGCAGGGCAGGGGTGGGCGGGCGGGTGGGCGGGCGAGGTGAGGCGGTGGGCGGAGGGGGGAGCGGGGGAACGGGGATGGGTGGATGAGGGTAATGGATGGGGGAGGGGGGCGGCTGTGGCCCTGCCGCCAGGCGGCGCCCCTGCGGCAGACGGTGGAGGTGGAGGAAGATGATGGAGACATTGGGGCAGGGGCTGAGGATATGGAGGTGGAGGGGTTGAGCGAGGACGGCGGTGATGTAGAGGTGGGGGATGGTGACGATGAGCAGGGCGCCCTGCCTCCTCCCGCGGGCGCGCCCACGCATGAAAATTGCCCACAGTCGGTCACCAAGGCGGCCAAGGGCTGCAAGGGCACGCAGTCGGTCATCAAAGAGGCCAAGGGCGACACAGTCCCGAAGTCGGTCATCAAGGAGGCCAAGGGCGGGAAGGGCGCTGATCAGTCGAGGCCGAAGAGCTGGGTTCACCCGCTCAATGGGGAGATGCGCGCCGTCTACGGCAAGCAGAAATCATACAGCCTTCAGTTTGACGAATTTAACAAGCCCCATCTGTTCATCGAAACGAATGAGAAACAAACGGCTGAGCACGCCGACCTCTTGTGCAAAATCATGAAGCAAGCCTGCGCCAAACACCTCACCAAAGCTCAGACTGCAGCGTTGCGGTCCAAGCTCTTGGCGCAGATGTGATAGAGCCTGGGATCTGGAGGGTTCGGGAGTGGATATATAGGTGAATTTGTCGGGAGGGGGGGGGGGCGATTGCAATTCGACATGTGTTAGCAACGACGCGGCGATTCAAGACCGCGAGGAGGGTGTTGCTCCATTTGGAACACATGCGTTCAGAGTAGGGAATGTTTCACGCCTACTTGTGGATTGCCCACAGCATTGGGTTCGGGCACGCTGCTCGCGAGTTAGACGAAGTTCAGTTCGGTAGCCGTGGCGCATCCCCTCGTCACCATTCGCCCCACGCAACCAATTCCAAGTTCCTTATCTCATGTCCTCGGCCTCTCGTCTCCAGAACCCTCAACCGATGTGGAGCACCAGAACATTGCCCTTGACAAAAACATCACTGTCCTGGATAAAACCGAACACTGTCTGCTCTGCGATGTTGGGTTCATGGGGCCCCGCCATCCCGAAGTTCGCACCCGAGAGCTGCGCTTCCCCCTGCTGGCCAGCGAGGCGTGCGCAGGTTGGGACAGCAGCTCTTGTTGGCGATGTTCGGGATCGGCGAAGTCCGTAGCAGCCTCGCGCTCGACCATTGCTCGACGTCTGTTGCCTGTGTGCTAGTGTTGCGCGGCAGACGCAAGGAACGTTCGAAGCAAAGCGAGCTGGTGCGCCAAGTCCGTCGCATGCAGAAAATCGTGGACCTCAGAGTGCCACTGTCAGTCAGCATTCTAGTAAGTCAGCTGTTCTGGTGCTCGAGTAGGTTGCGTTAGTGGGCTTGGCATCCTGGAGAGGGTGAGGCTGGATGCTGGCGGTGTGCATATTGGTTGCCTTGAGCCCCCTCGGGGTGCGGGGTGAGAGCGCAGGGCACAATGGTGAGAAGAGTAAGGTTAGACAGCATGGGCCCCAAGCAGTAGGTCCTTGCGTCCCCGATGTGCAATGTATGTGGTGCAAGCTCTGTGTGGCACAATCTATGAGGCACAGCCTGGGTGTTGCATTGTCTGCGGTGCAACATGTACAGAGATATATATATATATGTATATAATCACCACGTCGACATTGTAATATACATGTAAGATCATCAAAACAGATATATAAACCCATCAATTCATGGGTTCTGACACGCAGGTTCATATATATATATATATTATGAATAAGTGTATATATAATATAAACACATAGCTTACGCTTGTCAAACGTAAGACAAACGTAAGACGCACATCTTACGTTTGTCTTACGTTTGTCTTACGTTTGTCGAAAATGACAAACGTAAGACAAACGTAAGATCTAATAAAATATAAATGTATTTAACTATCTAATTCACATTGTGTTTAATACTATTGTATTTGACAGCTGCGATGTATTATTTTGTTTGTGTATACATATTATGTATATTTACACATACATTAAAATGCCGTTATAGTGAACACGACGTGTACATACTTCCACATTTGTATGCGTGTTCGAACACTTCACATGTACCGCACATACTAGACATGGTCACATACTGGTGTGTTTCTATACACATATGGTGTTTCTGTGCCAGCTGGGAATGGATGGATTGCATTGCCATTGCGTTGCGCATGTAATTATGTTAGTGCAACTGTTGCCCAACGGCGCCATCTGACAGTGGATGCATTGTATTTTCGTTGCATTGCGCTGGCCCAGCGACACCAAGTGCGTGTGCTTCCGTTAGCACAATTGGTGCTCAAGGGCTTGTCCAGGGCTGCTGACATACCGTCGGCACGGATCCAGCCCATTCCCTTGCAGATCCAATGGCGCCCAAGAAGCCCAGCAAGGTGCCGCCGAAGCCCACTGTGAAAAAGACACAGGTTCGCTTGTCGAACCATTGCCCAAATCAACGACGGGCGCGGCATGCTGCTGAAAATCGGTTTTTGTTCCAAATGTTTGGTTCATTGCATGTTTGCACGTGTTAGCAGCGGCCGTCGCGCCCACGATCTCATTCACATGAACCCTTTGTGCCCCTGGGGTCAAGGGGAAGCCTGCTGCCGCTGGGGTCACGACGCTCGCCGTGTACGGCAAGTCGGGGACAGTTTGGGATTTTGAACGTAATTAATTATTGACGCTTCGCGTTTATCCACCAGCCCATCCAGAAACAATCAGCAATGCAATGCGTGTATCGCGCATTGCATTGCTGATCGCGCGGTCGTATTCGGGGGAGCACTGATCACGCGCAATTTACCGCATTGAAGTTTAGGATGAAAGCCAGCGCAAGTTCCGATGGTGATTCGATGGGGGGGTGGTGTTTCGGTGTCCAGTAATGTATGTTGCGCTGGTTTGCATCTTAAGCTCGCGTGCGCTTCGAATGTTGGTGCATTATTGGGGCTCCCTTGATGTTCTCTTGGGGCCAGCGCGATGCCCGCCTGGTGCTCTTCCCTGGTGCGGTATTGGGGCCATCTCAGGGCAGTCTTGGAACCCTCTAGGGTGTCGGTTGGGACGTATGTTGGCGATCTATTTCGGGAAGTATGCGGGCCTGCGTGTGGCTCGTTTGGGATGCCTGAGTGGTCCCTTGGGGCAGCCTATGATCAGTTCGTTCAAACAGATGGGAACCGCCGCTACTGCTGGCCCACCCGCCCACCCATCGGAGGCTGAAGCGCGCAATCCTGGGGCCCTCTTGGCCCGCTCCTGGATCGCTATTGGGCGCTCGTGGGGCCGCCTCAGGGCCCGCGTGGGCACCGTCTGGGGCTATCTCGGGCCGTCTCGAGGCCATCGCGGGGCCTCAAGTGCCCATCGGCGGCGAGCGAGCGGGGATGCAAACCTACATTGGTTTCCCGTGTGTCGTTGAACGATTTTGGCATATTGGTAGGGGTCATCAAGGTCGTCGGACAACACTTGAACCCATCATTGGGGCCGTCTTGGGACATCTTGGACGCGCGTCGGAGGCTATCTTGGCCCCGCGACCGCTATATTGGGCAATATTGGAGGCCAGCTTGCGCTCTCTGCTGCCCTTCTTGGGGCCATCTTGTGCCATCTTGGACGCTGCGATGCCCCCCCCCCCCGTCCAATCGCATCCAGGAGGGGGGGTGCGCGCAGGGGGTATGAGGAGGTTGGGGCAGGAGCGCTCGGAAATGAGCCCTCGCAGGAAGAAGGTCGCCGAGCTGGTCAAGATGTGCGAGGGCAAGAGCCTCGAAGAGAAGCAAGAGATCTTCAGGACTGCGGCGTATTGAATCGTGTCGAGTTGTTTTAGCAACCATGATGTTTGCTAATAATGGTATATCTAGATGTGTTTAAGTTTATGATACAATCACTTACAAGGTTTCAAATCTTAGCGTTTGCGTGGGGGGGCCAGATGCGTCAATGTATTGTTATGGATGGGAGAGGCGTGGTTCCCACAGTTCCCCACAGTATATACATGATAGCCATGGGCGGTGTGGAGCGCACAATGCATCAGTCGGGGGGTGGTTTAACGTGCATTGAGAGTGTCTGAGAGGAAGCATGGCGACGACGACCCCAAGCAGATGAGGGCGCTCTTCAGCCCCGACGAGATCAGGGCGCTCTACGGGAAGTTCAAGACGGCTCGAGCGCCCAGGCCCGACGTGACGGAGCAGTTCGAGTCCATCAGCTCGAACCCTGCTCTCCGCCAGGGCAAGAACGACGC